TTGGATGTCCCTGTCATATGTTCCGTTGTTTACTTTCATAAATGTTTACTATAATTTATTTTATTTTCTTGTGTTTTTTTTCTGGGGAGAACCCAAAACCAAACGCTGTGCTTGTGTCCGGGACTGGGGCGGAGAAATGTTCCGTATACGTATATCCGTTGTTCCCGTCTAAGTATATATCCGTTGTTCACCAACGCTGCTGCTACTGCTGGTGTAGGGCTTTTTTTGAAGCCGGTGGTGAGCCATGATGCTCTCTTTGTCTCTCTCATGACCTCACACAGGAGTGGATTTATCAAGAGATTTGTTGCTTTTTCAAACATGGTTCTTGTTTTTCCTTTGGTTTTTTTTACCTGTTAAGATTAATTTTCAAAACCTATGTTTTATCATTTGTTTGCTCTCATCTTCCTTGAAAAAAAAAACCCAACCAAACCGTGCATTTTTGTCCCATTTCATGTTGTGTGAATGCTCCACTGTTTGTGGTGTCCGCTGGCCGTCCTCTCCAGCGCCAGCACTTTCTCTTTCCTTCCTTGACGGGCGGGCTCAGTGCTGCTAGTTTTGTTTGTTGTGGACACCTGAGCTCATCACAAGCAGGTAGAGGAAAGAAAGTCAAAACTGTTTTCCTCCAACTGTGGAAGAACCATGCTTGGGTATTTCACCACGTTGTGCCGTATCGTCTTGCGAGTCTGTTCACAAAATTGTCATAATATTGTCCTAATATTGTCACAAAATTGCCCTAATATTGTCCCAAAATTGTCACAAAATTGTCATAATATTGTCCCAATATTGTCACAAAATTGTCCCAATATTGTCACAAAATTGTCCCAATATTGTCACAAAATTGTCCCAATATTGTCACAAAATTGTCATAATATTGTCACAAAATTGATGGCTGATGGCCCCAGTGAGAGCCAGACCAACATCCAGTTTTCCAACCATGACAGGCGTCGTTCGATAGCCTAGATCATGTTCTACTATTACTATGTCTGTATAGTTTAGTTCTACTACAAATGCTGGACTGGTCGTGTAAGACAGACATTTTCTGGTGTGTGGGGGGGAAAAGACAGGACTTTAGGACATCATCTTTTGTGTTTGTCTCTCATGAAAGACATAAAGACAGGCTGACTGGAGTCATTCTCCGGGCACGTTCACCATGCACACAGATGTACATGCAATGTTTGTTGACCAGCAGAGAGTGGAGCACTGTGGCTGTACAACTCATCTACTCATTTCTTCATCTACAACTCATCTACTCGTTTCTTCATCTACAACTCATCTACTCATTTCTTCATCTACAACTCATCTACTCATTTCTTCATCTACAACTCATCTACTCATTTCTTCATCTACAACTCATCTACTCATTTCTTCTTTCTACAACTCATCTACTCATTTCTTCTTTCTACAACTCATCTACTCATTTCTTCATCGACAACACATCTACTCATTTTTTCATCTACACTTCACTGTGAGGAGCAGAAGTTGAAGCCCAGGAAACGATTCTGCCAATATGGACTGTTGTTATGTAAACGTGACATGCTGGTCTAGGCTAAGATCCCCGCTGTTTACCTTTGTGCAATGTTCAGATGAATATTTGTGTGCAATGTTCAGATGAATATTTGTGTGCAATGTTCAGAGCAATGTTCAGATGAATATTTGGGTTGTAGCTGCTAACTGCCTGGGTCCCATGTGAGCCCTGGATAGAATGAGCTAGATCCATGACCTGAGTGAGACAATGTCATCTGTGTCCCATGTGTCCCATGGTGAGACAATGTCATCTGTGTCCCATGTGTCCCATGGTAAGACAATGTCATCTGTGTCCCATGGTAAGACAATGTCATCTGTGTCCCGTGTGTCCCATGGTGAGACAATGTCATCTGTGTCCCATGTGGCCCT